GGGGGGGGGGCTCTGATGAGCCTCCTCCTGAAAGGTAGCGAGTACTCGCCAACTTCCAGGCAGCCCACTGCACATCACCCGTCATGGAAGCCTGCCTTGAAACAGTGAAACAGCCCCTGCGCCGCTCCGAGCCGAGCGCATGACCATATTCGACACTACTAAGCTGCTGACCCACGTCGTCGCCCCTCAATAAACTCGCCTGTTTGTAATCGTGGCTGTGACAAACCTGATACGCATTTAAAGAAGGAAGGAGGGGAGTGCCCGACAGTGAGCGCAGCGGCCCTGGAAGGCGAAGCCCACGCTCCCACCTGGCCCACCTGACCTGGCGCCCTCCGCTCGTTCTGCTCGGGCGGGCAGGCCAGTCGAGCACGCGCGCGCCGCGGGTCTGCCTACCCCGGGGTCCACAGGCGCTCGCCGCGGCCACCGGCCACCGCCCGCCCATGTGATCCCTGGCGGGCGCGGGGGGAGACCTGGCGACCGAGGCGTACTTAGGTGAGGCAGCATAGATAGACCAGAGGGCACCGACCGCGCGTGGCCAGTAAGGCTGAGAAGCACGCGGGGTGGTTCAGCTCGCACGACGAACGGCGAACGGCATACGCAGTGGATAGACAAGTGTTAATTCCCGATCTTGCCCAAACTCGGTATATTTGCCTCTTGTCTATGTAGGTGACCAACACCAATGCCGGTCGATTTTTTCCTGGCCGTCTTATGCCAAAACGTCCTATAGGGGCGGATAATATCGAAAATTACATTTTTATTATTTATAAATAATAAGTGATATTCTAACTCGGTCGGTATGAGCGGTTTTGAGAGGTAGTTCCTGTCCTATTTTTTTTTTATTCAAGCACTCCTAACATAGGGATGTAAAGGCCGATAATATTACCAGTAAGATTCGGTAAACTACCCGTAAATTACCGTAACTTACAAAGCCTCAAAACGCTGGTATTTTTCGCTAAGATTCGCAAATTACCACTTAATAGAACTAAGGATCCTAACATCAATTTTTGACCGCATTCGAAACTTTTTCCATTGTTTGCTTCCCTAAAAGTACCCTAGGATATATGTTAAGAAAAACTAGAGGGGACGGGGGGGGGGACGTTTTCTCCTTCTGGTAGAGACAGTCTTAGGAGGGATTGTCTAAAAATTTGACCGGGCAATCGTCCTCAACATGGATAAGAAGCAAATCGGAGTTTGGGCAAAATCCGGAATTAACACATGCTTACTACGGCCCCTTGTTAGAGCATTCACCTGGATCCATATGGGTTGTTAAAAACTCTTTAAAATCTCATTCAGAGGCTCTTTCCTGGGAAAACCACCCAGTCGACCCGTCGAAGACAGTGTATGGTCTAACCAAGACTTCAAACGGGGCTCGTATGCTAAACCATATGGAGGGACAGATCGACAACGAGTCACTGGTCCCCGTTTAAGGTCTAGTCAGCGATGACACAAAAAGCGGAGGAGGGCCGCATTCGTTCTCCTCCCTTTCGGCCCGTGTTTCACTGCGTCGTGACAAGTGTTGGGGAAGGGGAGGGGGGGATCCTCTTGCTGCCCGGAAGCGGCACAAGAGCACCGTGCCGTGCCGTCGCGGTCCTGCATCGGGGATGTAACTCGGCGGCTGCGGGGCGCGGCGGGCGGGGCGTGCGGGACGTGTGAGTGTGCCTGTCTGTCTGGATCGCGCCAGCCCTGCCAGCCCGCGCCGTGTCAAAGCAAGACTAATGCTACGCTTCGGAACGCCCCACTCGACTCCACAATGAGGGCTGCACCGTCGTGGGGGGCGCGGGGGGCGTGCCTGCCCGCCCGGGCCCCGGAGGGGTGGGGCCGCCCGGGGCGGGGTAGGGCGGTGCGGGTCGCTCCTCGGGGGGCCGCGCCCCATCCCGTTCAGTAGTGGTTTGCGCAGCGCGGGTCGCGGATTGCCGTACGAGTTCCGCCGCGGATGTCCCGGTGAGTGACGAAGTCGACACGAGTGCGCGTGTGGCAACAGCCGGCCAGGCCGCCAGCCTTGGCCAGCCACGGACCAGAGGCCCGGCCGGCGATGTCCATGCGTTTGTGAGGTCAGCCTCACGGACGGCCTCGCGGACGGCCCCACAGCCGGTACCGTGTGCATGGCCGCTATGCTATCCGTAAGCCGAGACTCCGCACACTGTCTTTGGGGCGGTGCCGGCCATTGGTGCGGCTCATGGCGGCCCAGTCTCCCAACTGCTGCCTGGCGGGGCGCGCAGGGCACATATGGGGTCTCTGGGTCGCCTCCAGCTCATCCCCGGGGTCATGAAGTGTTGCAGGCACCATGGGGCTCCCTCCCGGCCCCTCCCGCGCCGCACCGCCGCTGCTGCTGCTGCCGCTGGTCGCCGGCCTGTTGCTGGCCCTGACCGCGCGCGGGACCCTCGCGGGGTAAGGACTCAACAGCGCACCATCATGTCCCACATTCACACAGTCCGACGCAATCGTGTCCCGTAACAAAGTGCGAGGACGACAGACCATATGCCCTAGTGTCCGTAGTGTCTGTATCCCTGGTGCGTGTGTCGCAGCGCGGTGGACCTGTCCATCCGCACCGAGCCCCTGCCGAACACCGGCGGCGCGGAGCGGCGGTCTGACGTCGGGGTGGGCCCGCGCCAGCGCCGACCCAAGCTCATCTCCTTCAGTACGGACAGCAGCCAGATCGGGGTGAGTTAGTAGCCGGCAACGGCTGCAAACTATACGTAGCAAGCGAAGAGACGTCTACAAAACTGATCTTTTTACTGTTCGCGTAAAGCGTAAAGCATGTGCGCGGTATTCATAAACGTCTTAAAATGTGTGCCAATTCGCATGGTTTGATTGGTTTCGAACAAGGTTCCGACCTGCCTAACTTCTTGGTACAATGCATATGCATACTCAAGACGTCCCTAAACAGTTTAGCCCAGCCGCACGCCACCGTTAACCGCCCGGCCGTGACGTCCTGCCCGCAGGTGGAGCTGGGCTTCACGGTGCCGCTGCTCAAGGTGCCGCTGCAGGGCGCGCGCGCGGGCGGCGCCACGGGCCCGGGCGGCCCCGGCATGCCCGGCACCCCTGGCCCCCTCTTCAAGCAGCCCATCGACGTCAACATCGGCGCGCTCTTCGTGGCCGGCTCCATGCTGCTCACCGTCATGGGCATCGTGCCCGCCGTGTACCAGGCGTTCGCCAAGCCCGCGCGCCCACCGCACTCCCTGCAAGCCAGATGTGAGTGAGGACAGCCGTGGCACCTCCTCGTAGCGCCTGCGGCCCGGGGGATAGGCAGGCCCGCAGTGCCGCCGCGCCTCACTGGCCGGCCTACCCGAGCGGCACCGGGCTGACACCCCGAGCCGCTTAGCGCCGCGACCGCCAATGACGGAGCAAGTACTACTGGACGGGCTCCCCAGGGCTCCCAGGGGCAGCAGGTGGAAGGCTCCCGCAAGCGCGTTCTCTCGCACGCAGGTTGCGTCATTATTTGACGCGGGGTACTTTTCCGACAACTCTTCATCTGGAGTCAGACATGTCAATAGCATTGTTCCGGGACGCCGTGAAAAATGCAGATAAATTGATCCTGGAAGGGCAAATTTATCTCGTAATTACGAAAGCTTTCTCTTTTCGAAGTCACACGGGATTGGAATACCCAATCTCCTAAACGTGAGATGCGTGGGTATTGACATCATGAGGGATTAATCCCCCATAATATTAGGCATGGATCTGGGCTGGTTTCTAAATGGTAGAGCATGCTCGAAATAAAAGGTTGGGGTGGACGCGTCCAATGCGCTGTTTTGAGATAGGGCACTACACTTTTCTCATCTGATTCGTGTCCGGCAGCTGCATCCGGCGAGGATCCTGACGCGGATGAGTCGCGGCCGGACTGGTTGCGGGAGGCGGACGCGGAGGCGAGGCAGCTGCTGCGCTCGGCAGAGGCGGCGCTGGCGCGGCAGGGGATCGACGCGTGGAGCTGCGGCGGCCGGGCGCTGTGCGCGGCGCTGGCGGGGGCGGCGGGACGGGTGCGCGCCGACGGCCCGGCCGCGGCGCCCATGGACCTCGTGCTGCACGGCTTGGCCAGGTAAAGGAGTGTGGTATACTCAATTTTATCGACCTTCAAATAAGACTCAAAATTGATGATACGGGGAAGCTTTTCAGAAGCTATGATAAAGTTACCCCACTGGAATAAAACAAAACGTCTCATGGGGATGATTTTTTCACAATTCTCTGGTCAAATAAAGTGCCGCGATGAAAGTATTCCGAGCCCTTCAAATGGCATCATTTGTATTGGACCCCTCGGAGAGCTCTGGCACACGGCACTGCAACTCGCCCGGCATTTTCCTCTTGTCCACAGGAGCTCTTGGGTGGAGCAGTGGGTGGCCGGCACGCGACTTCAGGACGCCGCCGCAGGTGGCGAGGACATGGCCAGCTGCGCGAAAAGGTTCGCACGGTGCGCACTCCCCAGGGAAGTCACGGCGCTCCTCGGGACGCAGAGTGTGGACACGTCCTCGGCCACATCAAGGGAGAACGCCGTGCTGCCCTGAGAGTCTGCAGTCTGAGGTTCTAAAGTATCTGAGGATCTAAACCAAAAATGCTATCGGGGAGCTGTGATATCATCCCCCTCACCTTAAAGCCAGGTACTTTCGACCAAACACGCAAAGCTCGAGGGGACAAGGACTGATGTGATGAGCATTTGTTTTCTCTGCCGTGTGTCAGAACTACGACACAACAGCATTGCGGGTTCGCATACCCGAGGCGCCAAGCGAAGCACCTTACGGGTAGAACAAGTAGGCAACCTAGCATACTGCTGTGTCGTGGCCCTGACACACGGTACAGTTCTGAACGTCAAGGGGTCCCTTCTCCCCAGCTGTACCTTCCCTCTATAAGAGGATGCTCACATGCTCACACCCCACAATGCTTGCGCCGATAGAGATGTTTGATAAAAACTTCTGTTTTGTTTGTAATGTTTTTCAAATTCAAGGACTGGTCTACCCAAGACCAAATTTCGGTGTACTTTTTGTTCAAAAATTAATCAAGACATCCCTATGTGGGAGCTCCACCGAGCTCTGTTGCCCGGAGCGCTGCTGTTCTGTGATAAAAGATGTAACCACCATGTATCCATTCCTAGATATAGAAGTAAAGGAATGTGAGACAATTGTAGTTTGTAAGTGAAATAAAGCTACTATCTCACATTGTGATATATTTACATTATTTTGTTACACATTAAA